CCTGAATAAGATGTTCAGATACCCTTCTACCTCTGTGTGTGCGAACAGACATTTGCTCAGTGCTGAAAATTTGCTCAGTATCTCGTGTTTACTGCTTCGGTGAGATACCTGTGGTTGATTTTGTACTGTGTTTGCAACAGAGTTCTGGAGTAGCCCTGGGTTAGCTCTTTCCTCATCTTGTTCTTGTTGATAACCTGTTCTGTGTTCAGGTTGCTATTCTTGCTAGGAACGGTGCAGTCACTGGAAAGGTGCTTTTTGAGTCAGTTGTCTGCTGTAGCAGGGCTCTGCAAGAAGAAGCTGCCTGGACTACAGCTGTTGTCAGAGTACAGCTGAGTGAATGGAGAAAAGGTTGTAGAGAAATACTGTTGATAAATCAGCACCATGGTAGGACTAAGAGCACAAAGAAAAGTGCTGTCAGACACTGTGCCATACACAGATGCACACTGTACTGAAAAGATTGTTGTACACCAAGTTGTCTTTTTTTAATCAGTATTTTTGTGCATAACTACAGGAAGGTATTTGTGTACACTGGCACAGTGCCTTGCTCTCTTAAGTCTGTTGTGAGCCACTGAGCTCCTGACTGCGCAGGTAACCTGCCTCCTCCTGTTGTTGAAGTTTCCTTAGGCATTCTGGCCGTGAATGCAGCAGTCGGTCACGGAGATACCAGCCCTACCCTGAGTGCCTTGTGCTCACCAGATGTGGGGCTGTACGGAGTCGCTGCAGAGTGTGCAGAGACATACCAGCGAGAGTTGGCAGAAGTCGAAAGGAGAAAAGTGGCCACAGGTGAACCCCAATAGCTACCAGCTAGTGCAGTAAATTCGAGATGATTGCCTGTAGAATGGAAAGCAGAGGGGGAGCAATGTGAGGAGCAGTCTTGCGTTCTGGGTATCTTGTTAGAATCTCATGTTATAGGAAATTGAGGCTGCCTTGTAAACTGAAGTCTTTGTTAACGGAAAGAAAAAAAAGGTAGGAAGGAAATGAAAAAGGTAGCAGTGAAATATTCCCCACTTGTAGAATATATTGTGCTTAGGTAGTTCTTGCGGTGGTTCATTGGAATCTGCGGCCTTCCTTCTATTGCTTGGAGGAAGGGCCCTCTCCATGCATTTCCTTCCTGTAGTATTTGTATGTGAGGAAGATAGACACGTGTTTGCTTTCAACATAGCAGCATTTCTGCTTTCAGGAGGCAGTGGCAGTGAACGGGTGAAACACTGGGTGAGAGGAGGCTGTCATCATTATCATAACGTGAGGACCAGAGAGGGAGGATGGGATGAGCCGACGGAATTTGTGCAGAATGACACACAGCTGTCACGGGAGGAGATGCAGGTAAAGTACGTGCTCTTTTCCTCTGAAGTTGAAGGTGCCCCTATTTCAGGCCTTATTGCAACTTTCAGAAGTAATGTTTCCCCACAGTAGTAAAGTTAGCAAGCTTTGTATCTTATTTCACTGCTCGCTGTCTACTTTGCACGTCAGCACCTCTCTGTCCTATTGTGGAGAATGTGCACACCTTGATCACCAGAACAAGACGGTGGTGCTGCTGCTCACCGAAAAGCAACTTGTAAGTTTCTCTTGAGCAGAATACAGAAGCCGCTGTGTAACATGTCATTTTTGCATCTCCCTTTTCTCTTCCTGGCTCTTCTTCCTACCATAACACTAATCTAGAGCACTGTATCTGGAGTCGCGGCAGCATACGAGCGAGAGCAGTTGTGGCTGGCCAAAGAGAACCTGATGGTGAAGCTTCAGGCTTGTTGTCGAGGCTGTCTTGTCTGTCAGGAATTCAACTCCAGAATGAGGTTTTTGAAGAAGAGAAATAGTGAAGGTAGCAAGTGCTATGTTTTTTTTTTTTGTTTGTTTGTTTATTTGTTTTGTTAACATTTTTGGTAGCAATATTTGTGGAGAAGACTTTTATCTGCCCTGCTTTGGGATTCTTTCCTATAGATTCAGTCACTGGCCAGGATGTATCAAGGCAGAAGGCGTTACAGAGATCACCTGCAATATTTCAGAGACCACATAAGAGATTGTGAAATGAATTCAGTGTCGGACACTTTTTTTTTTTTTTTTTTTACTCTGCCCTTAACAAGTTTAAGTGGCTGGGTTTTTTTTTCCAATCTAGATAAATGACGTTATAAAAATTCAAGCCTTTATCCGAGGAAACAAAGGGTGAGAAGACTACAAAACCCTCAGTAAGTGTGGCCAAAAGAATAAAGCTAATATGCTTTGAATCTCTATTTGCAGAAAAATACTGTTAGTGAGATCTGCAACAGGAAGAGAGCTATGAAAATCAGTTGGGGTGAAGTGGTGCAAAGAGTAGATAGGTAGGCAGGTAGGTGGCTGAAGGAAAAATTCCCTCTGGCTGAGGGAGTGGAATGTGCTGTCAGCAAGTTTGCTGATGACACAAAACTGGGCAGAGTGGCTGACACAGCAAAAGGCTGTGCTGCCTTCCAGCGAGACCTGGAGAGTTGGGTGGGGAGAAACGGAATGAGAAAGAACAAGGGCAGGTGTGGAGTCTTGCATCTGGGCAAGAGCAACCTGAGTACCAGTATAGGTTGGGGGCTGAGCTGTTGGAGAGCAGCGTAGGAGAAAGGGATCGGGGGATCCTGGTGGGCGGTAGGAGCAGCATGAGCCAGCACTGTGCTCTCGTGGCCAAGAGGGCATCGTGGGGTGTATGAGAAAGAGTACGGATAGGAGGTGGAGAGGTGCTCTTTCCCCTCTACTCTGCCCTGATGAGTGGAGCATCTCCCTGTGAGGAAAGGCTGAGAAAGCTGGGTCTCTTTAGCTTGGAGGAGACTGAGGGGTGACCTCGTTGATGTTTATAAATGTGTGAATAGTGAGCGTGAGGAGGATGAAGGCAAGCTCTTCTCAGTGACATCCAGTGATAGGACAAGGGGCAATGTGTGCAAGCTGGAGCATAGGAGGTCCCACATAAATAAGAGGAAAAACTTCTTCACGGCAAGGGTAACAGAACACTGGGATGGGCTGCCCAAAGAGGTTGTGGGATCTCCTGTGGAGACATTCAGCAGCTACCTGGACATGTTCCTGTGTGCCCTAATCTAGGTGATCCTGCCCCAGCAGGGGGATTGGACGAGGTGATCTTTGGAGGTCCCTTCCAATTCCTGACATTCTGTGATTCTGTGCAAACTTGGTTCACGGTAGTACTTTTGCTGCTGGGAAATAGGAGCGCTGATCTTTGGGGTAAGTTCAGCAAGGTGGACTCCCCTAAGCTGATACTGACTTCATCCTATAGCGTTGACTTCTGTCCTGATTTATTCCATGCCAGAAGTTCCGGATGCTGTCAGGAGTTATTCAAGCCCATTGGTGTTAATTTGATCCTGGACTGGCTGCTGCTTGACATGCTGTCTGCACAGAGGTAACGCATGCATTAATTTGTTTCCTGTCCTCTGCTGTTTTGTCTCTTGTTTTTAGTTAATGCTGAAAACCCACCTACGGCTGTGGTTGGGAAATTGGTTCACTTGCTCGATCGGACCCAGATTTTCAGGAGGAGCTGGAGCTAATGAAACTGTGTGAGGAAGCTGTGACCTTGATCCGATCTAATCAACAGCTTGAAAATGACCTCAGTCTCATGGACCTCAAGATTGGACTGCTAGTGAAGAACAGAATGACACTGCAGGTAGGAAATGCAGTGCTGGGAGACTAGGAGAGTGAATTGAGGCCAATGGCAGTTAGCATGAGGACCTTCTGAGCCTGGATCTCACTTACTCAGATGCAGTGGGAAATATTTCCCCCAGAGTTACAGGTTTTCCTCCCAGTAAGTTCCTAACTGTTCCACTTATTACTATGTATCCCTAGAAAGAGAACTGCAGCAGAAACATCAAGGCTTCAAGTGTTTTAAAAACAAAGCACCAGAAAAAAACCCACTCGGGACCAAGGGAAAGCAATAGATGGAATGCTTGAAGGCTCTGAGAAGTGTTTGTCTCTTCACTTGTGGTTACGTGAGTCATGGACTTGCACACCTCAATTTCTTCTCACGTTTTGTGTGCTGTATCAGAAGGGGGAGGTGATTTTGGAGCAGGAAATGTGCTCAGGCTGCTTGGTGTTGGTTGGCTGATGGAAGCCCCCTCTGTCACTTTGCTGACGATTGATTGCACACAAGAACAACGTTGCTGATACAGCGGTGCCTTTTTTTAACTCAAGCTGAAGTTACAGTCACCTTTTCCTTTGGTCCTGAATAGCGTGGCGCTAGGCTTGACCTTGTGTAAAATCTGAACCATGGCAGCAGTAAAGTTCAGTTCCAAAGGAGGCTCCAGCTCTTGGGCTGATGCTGGCAGCAAAAAGTATCATCGTTATCAGAGCGGTGGAGGCAGGGAGTCAGCAAAATGGAAACAGGGCTTGGGGCTTCAAGCACAGTTGAGAAAGAAAGGCATTTTCAAGCATCTTCAGAACGCTACCAGCTGTGACAGTAGTCCCTGCTCAAAGCAATTAGTCCTTGTAGGTTCTCAACCAATTCTGGAATGTGGGGACAAGACAGAAATCGCTGCTACAACAGATAATGTTTCACTTCATGATCTCCTGATGTACCTTGACTGCCTTATCCACACAAAAGGAAGTGCTATCGTGCAGCTTTTTCCCATATTGCGTGTTATTTAAATGTGGAATCTGTCCCTCTGTGTTCTTTGCAGGATGTTGTTTCTCATAGCAAAAATCTTAGCAAGGAGAACAAGGAACAGCTCTCTGACGTGATGACGCTGAACGAGCAAAAGGGAGGTTTGAAAGCTTTGAGCAAAGAGGAGAGGGAAAAGCTGGAAGCCTATCAGCATCTTTTCTACTTGAGGTATGCAGCTTTTCATTCACTGCTCTTGTCGTAGATGCTTACGTGTATTGGAACAGTCTGTGCTTATGCTCTGCAGTGTTGAGGCGCTGTCTGTCTTTGTGGTGTTGGCTTTTGTGGACACGTGCTGTATGGGAACTGCTGAGTCATGGCCTGAACCTCTGATTGATCACCTGAGGCGAGCAGTGAGTCAGGCAGAGGAGCACAGGTGAAGGCAGTGCAGCTGTGCTGCTGGAAGGGGTGCAGCCAGGCTACAGCCCTCCTAGACCTGTTTAAGAGCTGGCTACCAGTGGGGAAGGATCTCGTCTGGAGATCTGCTCTGCTGGAGTTTTGTAAGTGAGCCCAGGATAGGGGTAAGCCTTCTATTTATTCTCCTTTTGTTAGCTTAGTCTGCTTTGTCAAACTCTCTTGTTTATTTCATAATGACAACATCTTAATAGTCATTGATTATACACGTGCACTAAGTACTTTTTCTTCTTGTTTTAGACTACTCCAACGTACTTGGCCAAGCTGCTTTTGCAGATGCCTCAAAACAAACCCACAGAGTTCATGGATTCAGCCATCTTCACGCTGCATAACTACGCATCCAGTCAGAGAGAGGAATCTCTGCTGTTGCGGCTGTTGCAAACAGCATTGCAGGAAGAGATCAAGTACGTTGTAGCGTAGGACACAGCCTTGCTGTTGCCTGAGTTTGGGCCGCTGCTAAAATTGCAGCTGTTGTTGTGTGATGTCCCGTGCTCATTAGCTGATAATGCTGAACTGTCCCTGCCTTCTGCTCATGCTGTTTCACGTCAGTCCTTTCTGTAACCTGGAAGGAGGAGGAATTACCTTTGTTCTTTAGGATTAAAGCCATTTTTCTTTAGCCAATGCTTTCTTGCTCAGGGAGGCACTATTTTTGATCTGCTGCAGCGCTTTCCTAAGATTCATTCCCATCTAAGTTCTCTGCTGTCTAGTAAGAAGGACTTGGAGCAGACTGCGAGCTTGGGCTTTACAGGCCAGAGTGAAGCTGACGCGAAGGTCACTGTTTTCCAAAACTGATGAGGAGGCTGAAAATCAGATGCTGTCTGGTTTGGGTTTTTTACTGGCTGTCAGGCTTAAGGATTCTGGCTGTCTGTCGGCATAATGGAGTTGATTGGCACTTAGGAGTTTGGTGTTTATGACTTCTGGCTGATACGGAGCTTCACAACTTGCTAGGAATAGCAAATACATGTAATGTTGGAGGCAGTCATGCCTTTTTTGATGCTTTTAAGTATGAGGATGGTATGTGCCCTCCAACAGGTAACGCCTAAAAGGTTTGTTTAATTATTATTATCTTTTCTTGGAGTAGTAGTTCAGGAAAGTGCATGTCTATGCTTTATTCTCTGCTGCTGGATTTCCCATAGCGGCATGCTGTGAATGGCTTTTGTTGCTGATTGCTTACTTGTTGAAATACTGAAAGAAAATAGTTGTGCCTGTGTAGAACTCCCTTTGTTTCCTCTGTATTTTTGAGATGCGCTCTTTCAACCGTGGTGCCCGTGGTCAGAACGCACTGAGGCAGATCTTGGCCCCAGTTGTGAAGGAAATAATTGAGGACGAATCGCTCAACGTCAGAACGGATCCAGTGGATATTTACAAGTGCTGGGTGAACCAGATGGGATCTCAGAATGGTGAGGCCGGGTATGGAAGCTGTTGCTACTGTTTTTTTCTGAAAGTTGCTCAGCTGCTTTGCATTGCTCTGTTAATCGTTCCAAACCATCCCTGGATTCATTGCATGCATCTGTCCAATGGATACCAGCTTTTTTCCATCAGCTCGAGATGGCTTTCTTCTGAAAGGTATAAAGATCATCTTGTGACAGGGGTGTTGAGCCTATTAGAAGTGAATCTCATGAAGAGATAGGCCAAGAAAAGCCCCAAAGCATTTCTTCTGTGTTAACTCATAGATACAGATACCGTAGCTCTTACTCTACCAAGCCAATCTCTGCCCACAACTCGGGCAGGCTGCCCAAGGAGGCTGTGGATGCCCCATCCCTGGAGGCGTTCAAGGCCTGGCTGGATGTGGCTCTGGGCAGCCTGGGCTGCTGGTTGGTGAACCTGCACGCAGCGGGGGGTTGGAACGAGATGAGCATTGTGGTCCTTGTCAACACAGGCCGTGTTCATAGAATCACAGCATGCAGCTGTTCCTGTCTGCCCATGAGAAGGTTTCATCCACCTGGTCATCCTGGTTGGTTGGCCTGTAGATCCCCCGCTACGTCATCTGTCCCTGTCCTCCCTTTAATCTGTGTCTATAAAGTCTTGATGGGCTCCCATCCGTCCCCAGTCAGAGTTCTGTGTTTCTTCCAGTGCTTGATGTTCACCAGATTTTGAGGGTTCTGTTGTTGGTTGTATTTGTTTTGTTTTTAAGGCACTTCAAGGGAAGTGGTGGAAAAGCAATGCTATGAAGTAAAAGACAACTGTCCCAGCGCAGCACGCTGCGTGAGTTACTATCTTAACACTGCAATGTGCAGCTTGTGTTTTCACTGATTTATTTGCGACCTGAGGTACTACTGCGTATCGCAGGTGACCTTCTTGACTCTAGAGAGCGTGTCTGCATGTGGTACAGAAAGATACAGTTCAGAGTTAGCTGGGCCTGTTCTCACAGCGACTGCTGCAGGGACAGCAGAGGACGTGAGAAGTCCTTTGCTCTTTCAGTGCTAGAATTCTAACGAAAGTGAACGTGCAGCTCTTTGCAGCCAGGTGAGCGTGGATCTGTTTGTGTGTCAAGCCAAAAATTCTGCCTGGCACTGACAAAAGTATATTAGGCTGAGGAGTGCTCACCTTCACATCTGACTTTTCCAAATAGCAAGTTGCCGTACGATGTTGCACCTGAACAAGCTCTTAATCACGGTGAGGTGAGGACGCACCTGGATGCCTCAATCCGAGATGTGAAGGCAGTGACAGACAAGTTCCTGTCTGCCATCGTTGTTCAGCTGACCAAATCCCGTAAGTCTGGTGTGTCACCGCGTTATCCTGCAGCAGTTAATAGTGGGTTCATCCGTGAGGAATTCTCACTTGCCTTTTATTTCCTTCGAAGTTACGGGATGCGTTTCATCGCCAAGGTACTGAAAGACTCCCGGCATGACAAGTTTCCTGATGCTGGCGAGGATGAGCTTCTGAAGGTAAGGAGCTGAGCAGCTCTGTGAATCATTGTCTGCCACGCTGACTGCAGCAGATGCATCTCAGTGTTGTTTGTTGGCTGTACGTGTGCAGAGAAGTTTCAAAGCTGCAGTTTAAGTAGACAGGCTATTTGTTGTTATTGCTGGATACATGTTTGTCAAAGGAGACATAATACAGCGTTCAGAAGAAGTCACCCTATTGCTTTTCCTTTTGCTTTTAATATCTTGGGCATTGTGCCCCCTAGGTTTCTTGGCTTTGGGATGCTCTTGCTGCTGAATGGTGCACCTTGGTTTTGCTGGTGTTATCTGAGTCAGTTGCTCTTTTTTTAAAGAGCCAGTGCCAAGTTGAAAAGGCCCGTGTGCAGAATTCTACTCTTCTCACTTCCCTTACAATATTCTAGGGCATTACAGTAGCTGCAACAAAGTATATGGTGTCATTTTTCATGAGGTGTGGGCAGTTTTGTGTTGTACATTTCCGTACTTTAGAGAACGAAAAGGATGTTAGTAGTAAATGCTTCCAAATGAGCACAGCATTGTGGCTTTCATTGGGATTGTCCTGGCGTTTGTTATTTTGAAGGTCTTTCTGTCTGTGAGTGCTCTTCTTCTTAATAAAACAAAGAGTGGCTTTGACATTACTTGCCCCAGTCTCTTTAAGCTTTTCTGTCTCTGCTTCATTACGAAGTAATTCCCAATCTGAATGCCGTTTTCTTCTCTCTTCTGGTTCCGTGCTTTCCCGTTCTGAGGCATCGATTCTTTCTGTGCAGGTGAATTCATTTTTTCCATCTGTAAATGTAGGTGGAAAGCTGCAGTTTTTATTAATCCTTGTGGAAACAATGTCACGGCCCATGCCGCACTCTGAACTGCAGCTGCGTGCGGTGACTGCCTGTAGATGCATTAGGGCCTAAAACTACTCCTACAGTGTACTGTTCTTGTCTTCCTACTACATGTTTTACTATTATCATTATGATTTCTCTCACAAATGTGTTTCTTATGACTGGTAGTGAACAGTTTTGTCTGTTGTGACCATGTGCCGTCACCTGGGATAGTAGAGCAAGAGCTGAAACCGCTGTCAAAACCATGACCTCTCTGAAAGCAGTTAATTTCTGGGGCAGCTTAGCAATGGCGAAGCTTCTTCTTTCTGTTTTTGCCATTTCTTCACACCTCTGATCTCTTCTGTGCATTCAAATCGCACGTGAAGCAGGAGAAGCCCAGATTCTGTGACTTGGTTCTGCGCAGATTGATGTGAAACTCCAGGAAATACTGAAGCATGTGGCGTGGGAACTTTTGCTGCATGTCAGCGTGCTGGGCCAATGCCTTTTTGTTGTGGGAATTACTGCAGGCAAATGTCCAATACGGGTTAGAAGTAGATGGATGAGCACGTGGATAACGGGCTGTCTTTATCTTTGGGGCCTCGGCGTTCATTGCTGCTCACTTAGCTGGTGAATTGGACTTCTTTTGAAATGTCAAATACCGCTCATCTTCGGTACTTCTGAGTTTCTTACTTCTGGATTAAATGCACAGTTGTGCATTTATTTAGTGTATGTATCTATGTGACAGTGTGAAACTAAGATTCTTTGGGACAGCATGTGCTTATTAATGGCAGCGCAGTAGACCCTGCATCTGGAACGGGGCCCACAGCTCACAGGAAAGTAATTGGTCAGAACTCACTCGGAGTAGTGTCAGTAAAAGTCAGTGGAGGTCTGTGCCATTGGTTTTCCACGTGTTTTTTTCTCTCCTCAACTTGTCCTAGATTGTTGGCAACTTACTCTATCACCGCTACGTGAATCCGGCCATGGTGGCACCGGATGCATTTGACCTAATGGATCTTTCAGCTGGAGGGCAGCTGACTGCAGATCAATGAAGAAATCTTGGCTCTGTTGCAAAGATGCTGCAGCATGCTGCGTCCAGCAAGATGCTCATGGGAGACGGTGCACATCTGAGCATCGTGAAGGAATACTTGTCACAGTCATCCCAGAAATTCAGGTAGAAGACTTGAGCTGATTGTGTTGAGGAGTTTGTCAGAGGACAGTGTTGCAAACAAAGAGGAGTGGTGAATTTTAAATGTAATAAATTCCATCTCTGTCAAAAAGGAAGTCTGTTGAAAATGAGAGATTGCCCTTTGGGCTTCCACAATCATTGATCATAATGACATATAAAATACGTAGCTGGAATTGACAAACTAGATATAGTATATTAATGAGCTGGTCCAAACAATTGGCTTTGCCATACAAGCCTCCAGAGTAAAGGCTGTTTTTCTATGTGTTTATTATGATATTCTGGCCATTGAAAACTAGAGTGTGCATGCGTTCTTTCCTATATGCACCCTAGTTCTCTGTATGCAAACTAGATGGCACTTTGGATTAAAGCAGGCTGGAATTTAGTTGTTTGTATAATCAAGTAACTTTTGAATGAAGAGCTTCTTTATATCTTTCATCTTTTGTAAGAAAGAAAACTGGAAATGGCTGGGAGTGAGGATTATTCTTGCAGCTGAGACAGAAGGATGGGTGCACAAGGTCATTCGGTCCATGGACTTGTCCTGCAGATGCTTACAGTGAGCGAATGCCGACATGGCCAGTACCAATAACTGAATCTTCTAGATGGCTTTTGATGTGATAAGCTATAGCTTGTCCAATTGCAGTATGCTTGGGAACCATGGTTTGAAGAAGAACAGCTGCTGGTATGCTGATTACCTTTTTCTCCTTTTTCTTTTCTTTTTTTTTTTTTTAAGACTCTTTTTTCACAAGGTTGCTTGTGAGGTTCCTGAATTGCAGTATAAATTCAATATTGATGAATATTTTGGCTTCCTTCCTTGTCTGTCCCTTCTGCAGAGCTTATAGCCATCAATCTCAACGCGCCAGTCATGGGAGCAGTCCCACCATGTTTCAGTAACAGCAGCTAGATCGTAGTTAGCCTGGTGCACAATGGCTTCCAGTTCCTCCTGCTTGTTGCTCATGCTGCGTGCATTGGTATAGGTGCACTTGAGCCGAGTCATTTGCCTGACTCCCAGCTCTAAAATCGTTCCCCCAGGCTCTTCTCTTGTGAGGCCTGTACTGTCCCCTTCCCCCGTCATAATTAGTTGATTGCACAGGAAGAAAAGCTTGATGTCTGTGCCAAGGGAGACGTACACCGCACTTGCGCTGCCTGGACGATGTGGAAACTGGAAATTGTGGGGTGTGCTGAAGCATGCCCTCTCAGGTCAGTCTAAGCATCCATAGAGTAGACCTGTCTAGCAAAACAGGGAATAGACAGTTAAACCCATTCTGTTGGGAAATACTCTCTCCTTCTAAGTACCTTTAGAACGTGAGTTTCTTCAGTTAATTACTCAACTCATTTGCTTTTCCTGAATGATCCTAAGTTCTTTTCTCAGGCGACATCTGCACTCTGCTCAGTCCAAGGAGAAATCCCTGCCCGCAGATGCAATGACACAGCATGGCTCACCACCTCATTTTTCATTGCTTACTCTTATGGTAGCTGCCATCCATGTCCACCCTGCATATTCTTAGAGCTCTTCTGGAGTCCATGGGGCAGACTTATGGTTGAACTAAAGGGAATTTTTTCATATTGCTCTAGCTCCAGATGATTATCCCTAGTATCATTATATTAAAAAAAAAAAAAGGCGTTTTGAAGTAGTGCGATATATCTTCTGTGCCTCAGAATGTGGCACGTGTGGCATGAGAGAGTTGTGAGGCCACGAGGACTGCCCAGACAGCATGAGAACTGTAAGAGCAGAGAGCTATAGGTGATGCAGCGCTATTGGTGCCACCCGCAGGAAGCGGTAGCTGGAACAAAATATGGCCAGAAGAGTGATCAGATTGCGTTTGGTAAGGAACTATTTCATTGGTTGTAGAACTTTGACAAAATGTATATTCAGGATGATGATCAGCATGCCAGGTGCTGGGACCATGCCGAAAGAGAAATGGTCTGAAAACGTCGGTGCAATTTGCAATATATCCCCTTCCACAAAGCCCTCAGATCCATGCTGCAACTGCATCCAAAGCAACCCAGAGCCCTGTGCTTGTTGTACCCGGAGCTGTCGGTGCCAGGAGTTGCCGCTGTGTTTGCAAGGACGTTGTGTCAGCAGTGTGTCGTCAGTGGGGTTGTTTGATGGCAATGAAACCGCTGAATGGTGTACCTCAAGACTGAGAAAGAAGATGGTAGTGGTGACTGTGTGTCTAGGTATAGATAGCTTGATACAGATCGATAGGACTGCAGTGTGGATTGTACATAGGCCCTGCGCTGCGAGGTACGCTGTTGGGAAGCAATGTCCATCTGCCCGAGGCAGGAAGGCCCTGCAGAGGGACGGCCTGAGGCCAGCCGTACGAGGCTGCACAGGAGCAAGCGCTGGGTCCTGCGCTGTGGTCATGACAACCGCATGGCAGCTTGTGCAGGATTGGGCTGAGGTAGAATTCCAACCGCCCGCTGATTCTAGAATGTTGGGTGTTGGAATCTTCTGGTCCTGTGACATGGTCTTGCCTCCCCACCCTGTCGTCATGGCGGAGCAGCCTGGTGGCCCTTAGTGATGTCACAAGAGGCTGGAATGAGGGGAGGAGCAGTGCGTGCTGCGTCCCTTCATTGGAGCGCTTGAGCTCTGCGTGAGTAGCTCGCTTGTTGCCCTTGTGCAGCGACTGAGTGCCTTCATTTTCACCCCTTGTGTCTTGTGCAGCATCTTGTAGGTAAGCTGAGACAGCGTGGGATGGACGGGTGGGCAGTGAGCTGTTGAAAACTGCTGTCTGGTGGAGCTCCTAGCAGCTCACACTGCTTACTCTTGTCCGTCAGACGTAACTTTCAGCCAGTACCTGCATTCCCAAGCGATCCACAAAGATGGCATTTGTCCCATGGCTTTTCCCTTGTCATCTTTGCTGCATTGTGGAAGCTCACAGACCTGTTCCTTCTCTCTCCTCTACCCGCTCCCTTGGTGCAGCTTTCGCTCGTGGAAGCACAGAGCAAAGTGACAAGAAACAGCTGCGAGTTCAAGGAATTGTCTACCTTGTTCTGATCTCCTGCCAGGTACGTGCCACGCTTTGTCCCCCCACGTGGTTGACCAGCACTGTGTCGCACCATGTTTGGTAACACAGCCTCACCCAGCTTTGATGGGACACTGGTCCCGTGTGGGTTTTTTCCCTTCCCCTGCAGCTCGGTCCTGTGGAGGATGCTGTGTGTGGTGCTGTGACCAGCTGGTCTGAAGGAAAGCAATCCCTTAGGCAAAGAGTCCTAGGCCCAGTTTGTGCCGAGCTGCACAGTGTGACCCAAGGTCACAAGCACGCATGCCTGGGCTGTGTGAGTGTGCGCGGCAGCTGTAGGGAGCACAGCAGAGATGCAAGCAGAGGAAATCCTTGATGTGCGGGGCTGCAGCAGGTGCCGGTGGTGAGGCTGGTGGGAGCCGTGGCCGGGGAGCAGATGCACCTGCAGCAATGATTCCTCTCACTGCCCTGCTGCTGCGCTGTCAGAGCGCCCTGGGCGAATGCATCTGCTGCTTTGTGCCAGTCCCCATCTGCTAGCAGAGGGACAGCCGCTTGGTCAAATGCTGCCTAATGGGCTGTCCCATTTGAACGGAGTGGACAGAGTGGTTGCTTCTAGAGCACCTGCCTGTGCCAGAGGATAGCCAAGGGTAGTTCTCCAGTAGTCTCTCAATACTGTGGTGTGTGAAGAGAGAAAATATGAGCGTGTTTCTCTTCAGTTCCAGCTTGTCGTGCCTGCTGTGATGGGCGTCGCGTGCAGCGAGATCAGCTGTGGGCCTGACATCGCACGGATGGAGGTAGAGTACGGAGCTCTGATTGGTCTTTGTTCCCTGACTTGAGCCAGCAGAGTGAGCTGCAGATGTGCTCTCCTGCTTTTCAAGAGAGAGCGAATCCTTGCGGCTCTATCAGTGTCACTGAAAAGCTGCCTTCAAGGCTTTCTTTCCTTGCTGCGGGCATGTTCTTAGCCTTGCCGTTCCTTCTTGTGTGCCCATGATAAGGATGGAGTGCACTTCCTGCAGCTTTCTCTGCTGACATGCTCCTCAGCCTGAAATCCTCCTCGTTTGCCCTCAGCTCCTCACCATGGCCTGTGCTCTCTGTTTCAGGCTGAGAACAACGGGAAGCCCCGGCTGGTCCGTGAGGAGTCATCTCTTAATATCCCAGCTATTGCTGCTGCCCACGTTATTAAGAGATACGTTGCCCAGGCACCGGGTGAACTCTCCTTGGAGGTAAGCAGTTAAGGGCGTTCCTTGTTGTCCTGTACAGAAGAGTATAACATGTGAAGCTATCAGGAATATTCTCAGACACCTTCAGAGTGTTTGGTGTGGTGAAGCCCAGCAGATGCGGTTCCAGGTTAGACTTGCACTGGGTTGGATGCAGGGAGGAGTTCAGCCATCTCTAAACTATGGCTCTATTTTGCATTTGGATCTTGTGATCCAAGAGCTACTGCCCAGTGTGGTAGCCTGGTCTCTGAGCAATGGCAGAGCAGTGTATGGAGTGTGCAGATCTGTTCAGGCTCTGTTTGGCTGACTTATGCCTGCGGTTTAATTGGAGCTCTCCCTTTGGCAAAGAGCCTGCTGCTTTTGAGAACCATTTCATACTGAACAGCTGAATTCCGTATGTTGTGTATTGTAGTGACTCTTCTACTTCCACGTTCAGTTGTACGACTGCAAATGCCTGAAGAGCTGCACTGGTGCAATCGCTCTCTAGCTTGACGATATTGGGCAGTGCAGAAGAATGCAGTCATTTGAGCTGCGCTTTCCTCCCAGCTGTGCTGTAGCTGGGATTGACGTTGCAATCTCTTGCAGGTGGGAGACCTCGTGTGCATCATCGAGATGCCGCCTCAGGAGCTGAGCCCCCGCTGGAGAGGCAAGCACGGCTTTCAGGTAGGCCCAAGCTTCAGACGTGAGAGCGCAACTTCGGTCGAGGCAGGAATCTCAGCTTAGAGCTGCCCTGCCTGCACAGCGTGGCTCCACATGGAAAATGGTTTCCTTGTGCTGGTGTCAGAGGACTTTCCCTTTTGCCGTGGGCTTGGGCCAGAGCTGAAAGTTGGTCTTTGTAGGAAACTGCCTCCTCAGTTAACTTAGAAAGAAGAGCCCTCACAGCGTGCATCAGGTCACGGCCACTGAACCGCACCTTTGGAAATGCAGCAGCTAGGACACGTGTTTCAGTGTCTCTGAGCACTTGTGCTTGCACCCATGCAGAAGGGGAAGTCGGTGTCTTTTAGGAAGTCGCTGCCTGTCAGCTGAGATGAGGCAGGGTAACAGAGCCTCTGCGTGCTTGCTGCTGCTGCTGGCTGCAGAAGGCTGGGTAGCTCAGAGCTGGGGATGGCAGCTGCATCTCAGTCAGCAAGCAGAAATTTCATAGGCTGTGCTAACTCAGATCTAGCTGCATCAATCTATCATAATATATAGCTTCTGTATGAAGTCTTTCCCTTCGGGCACGCTTGAGATTTAGGGGTGCATAGCATACTTGTCCTTTCCCCGCTCCATACACAGTTTTATGGATATTTGCCTGCCAATTTGGAATAATTATTAATTTTAAGCAGGCCATTTTTTGGTTGGATTGTCTTACGGAGCATCCGGCAGGCACGTGATGAGGAAAATGTGATGTTTGAACAGTTCAGGCCTGAGAAACGCTGCCTTCAGAATCGCACCTCTCTTCTTCTTGTTACAGGTTGGATTTTTCCCTGGTGAGTGTGTGGAGCTCATTAACGGAAAAATCCCGGAGTCTCTCATCAATTCAGTGCCAAAGCCAGGTACGATGATACATTTGATGGTGCAGGGAAGCTAAATGGAGTCTTTTTTGGGTGTGTTCCATGTTTAATACCTCCCTTATCCTTCCCCCCTTATCCTCTGTGCTGATGATCCTTCATGCATAGCACGGGGCGTATGGCTGGTGTTTTGTAGGCAGTGAGAATGAGGGAAGGCCAAGGCAGTTCTCCTGCAAGTCCGTACGAGGCTGAGAACAGCCAGCGTCCCTGGTGGACAGATAGAGGTCTGGTTGTGCTAGTGACACGCTTGATCAGAACGTGGCTTTTCAAGAGGGTCCTTAATGCCCAGGTTGAGCAAGCTAAGCAAGAGGAGTGCATTCAACTCCATCAGAACGTGCAGAGATTTGGCCCAGTCCTGCTGTGTTTATGACTGGAGTTGGGGATATCCTAGAATCCTTGTAGAATGGCTTGGCATGGAAGGCAGCTCGAGGATCATCAAGCTCCAAGCCCCCTGCCTCAAGCTGGGCTGCCAACCAAGCTCCATGTTTAATGTGGGACTGGACCAGGCTGCCCAGGGCCCCATCCAGTCTGGCCTTGGACTTCTCCAGGGTTGGGGAAAATCCATTTTGGTACGCACTTGCTCATCATGTTCTTCCCGTTTTGAGGTGCTCTGTAGAATGTGTTGTGCTCGGCCTCGTCCAACGGAGCCAAACCTGAGATGAACTGGTTTCTTCCTTTTGTTGTGCAGTGCCAAAGAAGCGCGGCAAGCTCCTCACCTTCCTTCGTTCCGTGGTGAAGGCCCGCCCAAAGCAACGGAAAGAGCAGGAGGTGGAGAAGGAGAGGGTGTTTGGCCGTGACCTGGGAGAGCATCTTCTGCACTCTGGTCGTGATGGTAAGGGACAGCCCATTCCTGAGAGCTTCCCTGTTTCAGAACCTAACGATGAAAGGGAGATGGTATCTAGATAGGTGCAGGTTGATACCAGTGGAGAAACGGGGAATGGGAGTTGAGGACTGAAAGATCAACTGAGGAGGTGATGGCTGCAAGGGAAATGCTCCTAAGGGACAAACGCATTTGCATTTGCTTAAAGCAAAGCCTGTGAGCCAATCCCCTGGTAGCCTGAAAAGAAAGGAAGCCTTTTGCCTCAGTTTCCCAGCTCCTTGCAGGCGTGAGATTTTCCACCTCCATTCCCGTGGGAGCTGTGATGGGACTTGCAATGTCTGTGGCTTCCCCGGAATTACTTTCTCCAGGCTGATTCCTAGGTCCTGGCATTTCTGGAATGCAAGGCACACATCTGTGTCCAGTTTCCTCAGCAGCTCCTGCAGAGGCGTCTCTGACAGCTGTCCCCTTCAAGGAAGAACTGAGCAGTAGCCTGGCTGGGCTTAGTGGATGGGATGTGACGGGAGCGCAGCCTGAGGCAGGACTTGACTAAGGAGCTCCAGTAACCGCCGGCACGTGTTCTTTAGTCCCCCAGGTCCTCCAGAGCTGCGCCGAGTTCATCGAGCAGCATGGCGTGGTGCAGGGGATATACCGCCTGTCCGGCGTGGCGTCCAACGTCCAGAGACTGCGGTAAGAGTGCTGCGACTGACAGACACAGCTGCCAGCAGGGGCACGTGCCCTGTTGCGGGCGTTCAGAGGCCTGCGGGCAATGCCTTAGCACAGAGAAAAGGTCTCCTTTGGGAACATCCCATCCAGCACGGCTGACGTGGTGCTGGTGGCCGAGTGTTTGTGTTCTCCTGTACATCAGGAAGCCCTTCTGATTCTTGATTGCATTGGGTGTGGCTTTTGACTTGCTTTCCTCTTTCTCAACCGCTTTCGTGTCCTTCTCTGCAGCCAGGAATTTGAGTCTGAGCAGGTTCCTGAGCTAACCGTCCGCGACGTTCACAGCGCGAGCTCCCTCTGCAAAATGTACTTCAGGGAGCTCCCGACCCCCCTGCTGACCGACCAGCTGTACGACAAGTTCTCGGTAAGCACGAGGCAACGCCTTTCCTTTCCCTCTTCCCTGGGCCTCTTGGGAGATGGCTGCAGCAGTGCCCCAGCTCTGAGGCCCTTCTTCTGTTAGCCCCATGGGGTTTACTCGCATGTCTTTGCCACATCCCGCATCGTGCTGATGCCACTTCTGGTGGCCCCAGGAGGTGGTTATTTCCATATTCACAGTGCTTTGCGAGAATTCCTGTGTTGTTTGTTTGTTTGTTTTTTGCTATTCCCCAGCTATTTCTGGAACAGGAAGGGGATTAATAGCCAAGCGTACTTGGAGATGAATGCCCCCTGCGAGGAGCTGAGCTGCCCAACCAGGCTGTAAACCGGCCCGGTGCTTGGACTCCTTGGCCGTGGTGGCACCAGCTGCGTGCCGCTATGTTTGCCAGATGCCTCTGGGGAGGCCTAAAATCTTTCTCAGTGCTGACCAGCAGCGCGCTGTGCCCATGGTTCCCGACCCTGCGGCAGGTATCTCGCCTGATTTGTGTCTCAATCCCTTTCTGCCCTTTTCCAGGATGCTGTTGGTGCCACTACGGAGGAGGAGCGGCTGGTCAGAATGCGGGACACCATCCAGCAGCTGCCCGCTCCTCACTACAGGTCAGTGCTGCCCTCAGCCTGCTGAGCTCAGCCCTGCTGCACTTCAGAGGGCAATGGTGCGATTCCAGGCTTTGTCTCACGCGAGCAACGGGATGCCTGGGTATGCTGAAACACTGCATGGGGTTAATTTGTGGGGTCACTTCCTGGGCACAGGGGCACGCTTGGTGCAGCTGATGGCTGTGGCTGTGCTGTGCTGGCGCTGGGTGCTGCAGAGTGGCCCTTGGTCAAGTTGGGTCTACTTCATCTTCAGCATCAGTAGCAGTAATAACAACTAGTGTGAATTGAGGTTTGCTTTGTGAGTCGCAGCACGGCATGCTGGCTGGTGCTGAACATTTGCCTCTCTTGTTTCCCAGGACCCTGGCGTATCTGATGAGACACTTGGCCAGTCTGTCTGCAAACAGCTCTGTCACCAACATGCACGCTAAGAACTTAGCCATTGTGTGGGCTCCAAACCTCCTAAGGTAAACTTCTTTTTCCGTTTCAACAGAACGCTTACATCTGTTCTCTGGTAGAATAAAGCAATCCCCCCTTCTTCTGCACCACATGTGCTCTTCTCCTGTAAAATGTGCAGTGAGTGGCTGACAGCAGAGCAGGAGCCTGGACTGTTCTCCAACCCCGCGTGGGCACAATTTCTAGCTGAGCATTGCTGCTCTCTTGTTTAGATGGGACTGGTGTGTCCTTGATCAGACAGGAGGACTTTTTCAGTGGTATCACTGATTGCCTACTGCGGAAGTCTCCGGAGCCCAGTTTGACAGCTTTGGGCTGCAACAGTTCAGACCCGGGGAAGCGATCTTGGATAAATGACTTCTAAAACCTGCCTTTTCTACAGATCACAGCAGAGTGAGTCTGCCTGCGCCAGCGGGAGAGCTGCCTGCACGGAACTGCAGACGCAGTCGGCAGTGGTGGAATTCATCATCGACCACACAGACGTCCTCTTCTGCTCCACGTCTGGACCTGACATTGCAGATGGAGCAGGTGAGTGTCTTCCTCCATTAGCTTCATCTTGTTCAGACACCTGGATCAAATGCAGGCCTTCTCCAAGTCCTTTGAAATCCTCATTTACTATCGAGGGAACAGCAGACTTCTGGGCTTAGATTGGAATCTGGCGTCCAGTTGCTGGATGCTGAGAGTGTGCAAGCCCAAACGTGACAAGGAGAAATCTGGTGAAGCTTGGTGAAAGTGTGGCAGCGAAGCTTTCTCAGTTCCCTGCCCCCATTTTCTAGGGTTTTTGTTTGCCTGTTTCGATACAGGGAGCTGCTCCAAATTATGACTGCGTCCTTTGCCATAGACACACCTCTGAGCACATGGTTGTTTTGAGCTGCTCTTCTTGCAGCGGCTCGGATAAGCAAGTCTGAGAGAAACACAGCAGCTCCCGGACCTGCGATGGCTGTGCTGCCGCTTTCTGATCCTGGCTCTCACCTGTGGTTTTCCCTTCCAGGGCGCAGTTCTCTCTCAGGGCCCCAGTCTGTGCAGGCATCTTCTCCTGACACAGAGCTGCTCAGCCTGGAGGAGGCGCAGGCACGGAGGCGAGGCCACAGCAGCTCTCCTGTCACTGTGACACAGAGCAGGGACATAGAGGTGGAAGAAGGCCCCAAAGCTGTACGGGGCAAATTCCACACCATCATCGACTTTCCATCTGAAAGGTAAAGAGGACTTCCTTTTCCAGTACCTTCTCATCATTGTTTGGGTGGGTTTTTGTGGTTTCTTTTTGTGTTGTTTCCCCCCCCATTATTTCTAGTGCCAAAGCTTGCTGAAACTCAGTTAAATTGATGGTGCCTGAAGTGTTGCAGTGAATCTCCACTCCCTTTGCACTGTGCGACTAAACTCACATTCAGCTGCCCGCCGGGCTGAGTTTAGCCACACAAGGCTGGCATTCCCTCCTTGCTGGGCAGGCAGTCACGAGCTGCATGAAGCCACGCTGACGTCTGTCCTGGCCTGTGCTGGCTGTACCTGGAAACGTTGGGGTTTTCTGGACTTCAGGGCCACGTGCCTGAATCCAATTCCGATTCTCCTGGAAGCAGAGCTGTTGGTCAGACCTGCTGGCACGAGAAACTAGACATGGCAGTGAGATGGGGCTGGTGAGCTGTCAGAGTCAGAGATGCTTTTGGAGTTCCACGCACAACTCACACCATTCCCTGTTTCTTCTCTCCAGACCAAGTCCACCCAGCAGGATGAAGGAATCACCATCTGGCTGTTGCTGTTCCTGCTTCAGCCTCGGGAAGCCATCCTCTGTGGCCAATGGCCAACGGCAGCACCATCCAAGGGAGCCCACAGAGACAGACGTTGTAGTGCTGGCAGGTAAGGGTGCAAATTCTTCTTTCAACACCCTGCTTCTCAGCAACATAGAATTCTTGCTGTCAGTGGGCTTGTATCTCCTTCTAGCTATCCAGCCCATACCTAGCACCTTCAGATCTCCCCTGATCAAGAACCACTTTTGTAATCCAGCTTGTGAGAGTTGGACACCAACCCCTGTTCATTCTTTTATAGGTGATTTGAGCTCTTGTCAACCCAGATGTGCCAGAACAAGTAGCAATGCTGGGCTGTGTGCTTCCACCAATGGAGAGCTCTTGGGAAGCACAAATGGCTGCGGTTCAGCTGACAGCCTGCCACATAACAACAGTGACGGACACGAGGAGCTCATCCAAGTTGAAGCCCTCATTTCTCCCGGCTGTGCTGAAGATGCTGACCTGAGCCTGCCAGAAACCACAGGCAGCCTGGACTGTGACCCGGTGCCTCTGCAGTGCAGCCCAGCCCAAGCAGAGCCCGAGTGCTCCGACAGCAGCACCGCCTTTGAGGAGAAGGTCAGCATCAGCGAGGAGCAGCAGAGCCTTTTGGAGGGGGGCTTAGAATCAGGCCTCCAGTCCCAGGCACCGGACATCAACACTGACAGCGCTGATCCACTCTGTCCATGAGCTTTCCACCCAAGAGAGGACGATTCCCATCTTTGCCTGGACCTCTCACGCCCTCCTGTCTTTTCCTTTACTAATAAAAGCACACTTGTGCTCCCTCAACGCCTTGACTGCCTGTGGAGTCTTCATTCACGAGGACTGGGATGAATGCAACACACAGTAAGGCACCTCAGCTTGCAACGTGATGGCTGTGGAGTGCGTGCAGCAGAGCTTCTCGTTTGTTCCTGCTTTGTCTGCAGCGAGAGCTCTGCCTACGATTTGGTATGGCAGCTGACAATCTCTAGCATTCTGGATATGGCTAATGATAATCCCAAGAATCAAGAATCACACAAGGTTGGAAACGACCTCTAAGATCATCCAGTCCAACCGTCTCCTCATCACCATTGCCACCACTAGCACTAAACCATATCACGCAAGCTTCCTGGCTGTGGCTTTGTGATGCTTTCCAGGGCTTTTGGATGCGTTTTGACACCTTGGCTGCTTCCAGCACCTTGCTCCTGCAGCTGCGTTGGCTCCTGGCTCCCACTTACAAGCTGGCCATGCAGATCATCTCCACACGTGTCACCACCGCGCTGAGGCACGAGGAGCTCACCCTGACCAGCAGCCGCCCCCCGGGCTCTCATCGGTCCGCGGCAGCGCCGCTCCGCCCCCGGGCTCTCGTCGGTCCGCGGCAGCGCCGCCGGCTGCCATTGGCTGAGGCGCCGTGCGCGGGAGCGAACGTTGGGGGCCGGCTGTTGGAGGCGCGGCTCTCCTCGCAGAGCGCCGCTGCAGCCGCCTGTGCCGCCCCGTAGGAGACCGCGGCGGCAGCCGGAGCTGTCCGGGCGGCACCGAGAGAGAAGCCGCGGCAGCTCGGGAGCGAGTGCTGAGGACAGCTGTGCCGGAGGTGAGCGGGAGAGCGGTGCCGGGGCGGGGAGAGGGGCTGCGGGGGGCTCTAGGAAGCTGCGGGGAGGCGACGGGTGGCGAGGGGTGGGGAGGGATACAGCGAGATGTGAGGCTGCAGGCGCCTGTGAGGGGATGTAGGGGTTATGGGGAGCTGTTGGGGATGAGAGTCAGATACGGGGCTCTAAGGGTGGTGTATAGGGAGATAGGGGGCTGTGGTGGGCCATAGGGTCATAGGGGACTATTGGGGGCTGTTGGGAGCTGTAGGGAGGAAGGAATATGAAGCTGTAGTGCATTGTGGGGGGACTGTAGGCGTGGGTATGTGGATTTGTATAAAAAATGAAGCCCCTGTTCTGGGCTGCATTGCAAAAGGGGTGACCAGCAGGGAGAGGGAGGTGATTGTCCCCATCAATTCAGCTCCTTTGAGGCCTCATGTGCAGCGCTGCATCCAGGCCTGGGGCCCGCAGCACAGGAGGGACGTGGAGCTGTGGGAGCGGGTGCAGAGGAGGCACTGAGATGTCAGAGGGCTGGAGCAGCTCTGTGTGAGGAGAGGTTGAGGGCAGTGGGCTTGTTCAGCCTGGAGAAGAGTAGGCTGCGGGAGACTTCATTGCAGCCTTCCAGTACTTGAGGGGAGTGTATAAGCAGGAAGGGGAACGGCTGTTTACGAGGGTGGATGGTGATAGGACAAGGGGGAATGGTTTTAAACTGCGACAGGGGAGGTTTAGGTTGATATTAGGAGGAAGTTTTTCACACAACAGGTTGCCCAGGCGTCAGTGATTTACAGGCTGGTTCGGCCCTGTTCTGTGACTAACGGGGTGGAGGGATCCGTGCTTCTGGAAAAGGGAAACAGGGAGAATGATTTCAACATAATTGAAAACAGCCTTTACAGAAAGCAGGTGGCACCTATTGATTGGTACAAGATCCAAGAGAAATTAATGAAATGGTTCTCAAATGACACCCCCTGCTTCCTAAGCCCTGTAATGTAATGAGTCAAATCCCACACAGACACAAATGGTTCAGTGTAACAGACCTCAAAGATGCTTTTGGGACCTGCGTTTTAGACTCAGAGAGTGGAGATCTTTTTGCCGTTGTACGAGAGGATCCAAAAATGCAACAAAAATAGCAAAAGAGGTGGATTGCTTTACCCCAAGGGTTCATAGAATCGCCTAATTTATTATATTTTATGTGTTATATTATGATAGATATTATCTATTGTGTTATTATGTGTTATTTTATATACATTATATATTTTTTATTTTATTTTATATTTTATTAAGTGCTGGAGAAAGTTTTGGAGAAGTTTCAGGTTGAAGAGGAGGTGAAGCTGTTTCAGTATGTAGATGATTTGCTGAGTTGTGGAAAAGAGGAGTCTAAAGTAAAGGAGACTGCAAGTGAAATTGTGAAGTCGTTACTTGTACTGTATGTCTGCAGTGCATTATTTTCTGAAAGGGTGCACCCAAGCAGAGATGTAAGGGATCGTGTGCCTTCAGACCCTAAAAAAATGTGTCCAGTTTCAGCAAACCAGGTCTTGGGCACTGTGGTGGATGCACCTGTCCGTAATGGGTGTAACATGCTGTGACTTGATTGCATTACTGTGACTAATTGAAGTGCCTGAAGGAAAGGCTGTTTTCTTCTGTTTGTTGATTCCCTTTGCTGAGCTATTTGTACTGAATGAGCTGATGTTGTTGTTGCTGTGGGGTGTGATCAGCAGGATGGGAAAGCACAGTGTTTGTGTTCACATGAGGTTATAGCAGGGCTATCTCAGACTATCGTGGATGTTCTTTAAGTAGTTTGAGGCTACTGGAACATGGAAAAGAATCCTGACAGCTGGCTCTGTCTTCTATCGAGCTCTTCAAAATACTGCTTGAGATAACAGCAGATGAGATGAAATGCGGAGCAGCATGGGACTTGTGTCTGCCTTCAATAATTCTTTTCTTAGGCAGTTTGTGTTAAATTTTGTTCCATGGGCTGTGACAGAAATCTGGGTTGCTCCGTGAGGTGTTAAAACTAGCTGACCTGTTGACTACTGACATAAGGCTTACTTGATTTGAGCTATGGAACTTTCAGCTTGTTTTGTCATGGCTGCTTCTAGGTATCAGATAGCAAATAAAATGTAGCTCACAGTGGCTGGATTTTTTTTTACTCAGGTGCTTCTGACACCATGCAAAACTCTCTTGTGGAGAAAGTTCCAGAAGCTTTCAGTGTTTAATTCTGGCTGTACAATAGCCATTAGTTCAATTTAGAACACATGAAAAGAAAGCTGGTAGGGATCTGGTTACAGGTGGTTGAAATGACAAGAGGGAGATGGTGCAGGTGTAGGAACTAGGAGGTTGCCTTCCAAGTGCCTTCCTGGTTCTCCGTGCTGCTTGGTGTTTATTTTCCCATTGGTGCTGTGTTCAAGTGCAAGCACTGTAGGGTGTAGAGAACACTGTAGAATGCCTGGTGCTGCCCCGACCAGTCGTAGATACTGGAAGGAAAAGTTGTGATGAACTACCGATGGAAAACATGGACAGTTTTGAGGCTTCTTCTTGGCAGAAGTTGTTGAGACAGTCCTCTGATAATCAGACAACAGGTAAACTGGTTTAAAGATGAGTCTTACTTTAAAGAGGGCCTTGTGTAGTCTGGTTGTTTACAGTAATGCAGGACTAGTTGGGTAAATAACTGATTGGAAAACCTATAAGGGAATGAGGTTGTTTTTTTTAGGTTAGGTTCTTACTATTGAATGCAGTACAAGTGCTTGCATGACTGGGAGCCCAACTGTCTGCCGCCGTTGTTGTCATGCTGCCTCTTTGATGTGCTGCCTCTTCAAACTGCTGGGGCTGGCAGCAGCGAGCAGAACTAATGCTGCAATTAGAATGGGTGATGCAGAGAAGACTGTGGCAGAAATGATGAAGCCAGAGGCCCAGCTAGCAGAGGTTTATGCATTTGCTGCCGATCTTTATCCCAAGGAGCTGGCCGCCTTGCAG